GTTTACAAATGAAAGATAATATAGTCAAAATTAATTATAATTGTCAATAAAATAATTGTATAGGTATGGTTGAAACCAAATATGGGACATAAGGGAAAGTAAATTAAAATTGGGGCATAAAATATTAAATATATACTAATATTGAAAAGTTAATTGCTAATTGCCAAACAAGGACATTGCGAGGTAGTTTCCTACTTCAATTTGTTATGTGATTTGAATACTCTTTTTGTCAATAAATCCCTCAAGTAGTTAATATGATTGGCTTAATTTTATTTTTTTATATTTATTTATTTTTTAAAACTATTATTATTATTATTATTATTATTATTATTATTATTATTATTATTATTATTATTATTATTATTAAATATATGTATACCCTTATGTCATTTTACATGTTAATCTAAAAAACAACTAATTTTTTTCAAATATCTTTTTATCACTGTTGATATAATTCCCTGGTCAAATTCGCTAATATAATTCGCTAACGATAACTGCTGATTGTCAAACAAGGACATTGCGAGGTAATTCTCACTTCAATTTGTTGTGTGATTTGAATACTCTCATTGTCAACAAATTAAATCCCTCAGATAGTTAATATGATTGGATTTATTAATTATATATTTTTAAAATTTTTCATTGTATTAATAAAATACTTGGTAAACAACTATATAGCATTATTTTGTATTATAATTTTGATATTTAATTATAAAATAGTGCACAAAAAAATAATAGACAATGTAGTTAATATTATCAATTGATGAATTTGAAATTTGAATCTAAAGAATTTTTACTTGGAGAAATATAACGACAATAGAACTAATAAAATTACGTCTCTTAATTAATTTATTGATAAATATGATAATGAATATTTTTTTTTTTTTTAGTAAAGACATTGTAGGGAACATATATAAAGAATTTATTGACAATGTAGCGAACATAATCAATTGATAACTTTGAATGTAAAGAATTTTTATATTGGAGAAAAATAAAGACAATATAACTAATGAAATTATTTCTCTTATTTTAATGAATAATTTTTTTTTTTTTGAATAACAACATTGTAGACACATAATTCTAAATTAAAGAAATGCATATGTATTATTTTTTGTTGTAGCTACTAAATTATTATTTAATTTAATAAGACTAAAATAGAGTACTAATTATGCCAACTTTTATTAGGATGAGGTTCGAACCTAAGATCTTTCTTATTGAAATCAATGAGTAAGTTAACGGTGAACTAACAAAAAGTAACGGAAAAGATAATATTTAACGGAAAAGTTAACGGATAATCATATTCATTAAGGATAAATTAGTAAATCTTAAGAAAAAAATTAAAATATGATCAATCTGAGCCATTCATTTGATTAAAAAATTTGACCGCCATTTTTTCTACCCATTATAGGCCTAACTCTCTTGGGCTCTTATTAGTATAGTAGATATCGTGAACGGGGTCCATATAGTATTGTGGACCTTGGATCAAAACGACGCCGTTTGATGTTTAAGCTTTAACATATTCCATAACTTCCAGTTTCTCATTTTTCAATATAAATTTTAATTTATTTTAAGTATAGAATTCCTACGCTTAATATACAGAATTGAGTAATGTGATGTACAGAAACACATAACACGAGATACATACACATGTTTTCTATTTTTACTTATTCTCAAATCTGATTTATGTAAATAATTTATTTCATATAGACACATAATTTCATAATACAGGACATAAATTCATAAAATAAGACACACAATATGTTTTGTGTTATACAACTACTAATCAATTTCATGTACAAAATCCTTACGCTTAATATATAAAATTGCATAACATGATGTACAAAAACGTATAACACGAGATACATACACATGTTTTCTATTTTACTACGAGATACATACACATGTTTTCTATTTTACTTATTCTCAGATCTGATTTATATAAATAATTTATGTCCTATAAGCACATAATTTCATAATTTATGTTCTATATGAAATTTTTTAAGTAATGGTGGTTGAAAATTTTATTACCTTAATAGAAAATCTAATTTCAGTTATCTTCAGTGGTCAAATTTTTAGACCATTTTTTCAAGTGGTTATAACTTGTTGGTAGGAGTGTTAGCAAATAAAGTTTACGGTAAATTACACTTATTCGTGATCGGTTAGTGTTCGTTTATATTTATTTATTAATTTAAATGAACATAAACCAACAAATTTTAGAGTCCATTTAATAAACAAACAAGTCTAAACATTTGTGTTTTCAAAAAAAAAAAAAAGTCTGAACATTTGTATGTCCATTTGCTAAGAGCTCGTGAACGTGTTTGTTAGTATTCGTTTAATAATATTCATGAACATGCTTATTTAATGTTCATTTAATAATGTTCACGAACATTCTTGTTTAGTGTTTGTTTGAGAATATTCACGAAAATGCTCATTTAAGTGCAATTTATTTTCATTTACTTTAGTTTAGCCTAATTTTTTATAGTCGTTATGTTGTTTGTTTGGTTATTGTTAGTGAACATAGATTATTTCTTTTTTTTTTTTTACAAACAAATTATGATCATGAACATGCACATGTATTTGTTTGTTTAGCGTTTGTGAATATTTTTCCTTTTATTTTGGTAAAAACAAATTCTTTTTATTGATGATGAGAATCTAACTTTCCACACATTTGATAATTTTTCTAATTATAAATAAATATCATCCTATAAGAAAAATGTAGAATGTTCTTTCTCAACTCTAACCTTAGTCTTCATCTCTTGTTGACTACGACTAGAACTAACCATGGTCAGGCCTAATTTGGTCCTAGAAAATTGTTATATCATGGGTCATTGTCTATTTTAAAATATAAACACCTTATACAAGGTCATTTTTAATATATTATATGTTCATTTTTAATGTATTATAGATTCATTTTAGTATGTAGTATACTAAAAATAAACATACAATATACTCAAATTAATAAACATATATTAAAATATAATGAACACTAGAACTGAATATGCATTACACTAAAATAAACCTGAAAATTAAATTTTAATTAAGGTCTACAATATTATTTGTTGGTCTTACTGTCTTAGGCCAAATTAAGTCTCGAAAATGTGACCTAGATTAGTGATCAATCACCTTTACCAACTTCAAAGATTTTATTGATATTTCTTTAAAGTTTTCTCAACACTAAAAACACATAATAAACACTTGAGAAATTAATTAAAATGCAACAGAATGTGTTGGTATCAAGACTGAAACCAACCACTTTTGTTCATTAGTTGTTTTGCTGATAAAATTTTGAAACATCTTACGGACTTCTGGTTTTTCATTGTCGTATTGCTATCTCCTCAGTCATGCATACACCCCATAGAAAGAAATTAATAAATGCACGACAGATTTCGGAACATAAAAATACTAAACACAACAAAATTATTACTTCCCCAAAAAATTTGAATTAGCATATTTTAATGTAAACAACTCATTTTCCCTAGATTGGGGCAAGTTGTCTGTCCTGTCACACTGCCCCCACACATTTCCGATGTTCCCGTTTACTAAATTAACCTAAGTTTGGATCAAACATGCATCTCTGCCCAGAAGACTGTCATAGGACCCAAAAAACACACATATGTGGTCAAAACTCAAAAACCATTTTACCCTTTTGATTCGTCTTGGGATTGGAGCAGTATAGGTTGTTTGTTGAATGTTGACTAGTGGGAGGTATGGGCAGCAAATGGCTGTGTGGGCAACACATTTCATGTCAAGTTTTCAACACTACAAATTGACCCACCCTTACTGGCAATCAATTTAATGGGGACACCCACTACTGAATTATGGACCAATTTTTCAACTCTTCTGGTCTACTTAGCCTGACTAAGGGGGCATTTACTCGTTCAAATTGAGTTACCTCAATTCCTGACCGGTATAATGGTATTGATTTTTGTCAAATTCAATAATTTTATAGTACGCATGGTTGCACCGGATTGTACCAAGTACAATAAGAACCAGTATTCAGTGCATGCTGTTAAGTATACTATGAGTCAGGAGCAACCATACCCACGTACGTTGCTTAAATTGTTAACTTAGTAATTATAATGTTACGAGTTCGAAGTGAGAGCGGTCTACTGGCCTTTTTTATTTCAACCGGTCAATTATGGGTAACAACATTGGCTGGTTTACGTCATTGTGGTCATTTGCTGGATAGGATCACAAGACAGAGTTTACTCAATGCATACCTCCGAATAGTTATTGCGAATATTCCTTGTTACTCTATACAAATTAGTATGGTGTCAATTAGGGCATCCCCGTCAATGGTTTTGAGGAGGTCATGCTGAAATGGAGGAGAGAGCGGAACCTTGGTTTTTGCTGAAGGAACAAAGTTTTTGTCCAGTTGTGTGGGCCCCACCAAGAAAGAAGACAAGGAGCTCTGCCATGCATGAGGCACAAATCTCAGCTCGCCAAGAGGCGGAATCTTTAATTTGTTTTTCAGATTTTGTTTTTTATTTTTTATTTTTTCCCTCCTTCCCATATTTTTTTTTCCTCAAAAACTAGAACTATTGGTGATGCTCTTAGTACCTTACAAATTCCTGAAATTTTAACACGGGGTAAAAGAATTATCAATTATGAATTTAATGTTAGTAGAGTGGAGGTCTAAATTATTGTTGTAAACAACCTATAATCTTCCAGCTGGAAAATGATCTGATGTATAATTAAGGCATATATAACTACTGAATCAAACATTTTCCTACCACCACCAACCCTAGAATTGAAAGGAGAAAGAATCTTAATTAGTTTGGTATATGGTAGGAGTGGCACACTGGCACCCACCCCACAAAATTCCCAGTTCTCCCAAATTCAATCTGTCCAGTTATGAGTTATCAACCTCTACTGTTGTTGTTTTAAGTTCTAAAAAGGAAAAGAAAAATTAAAAAACACAATGATTTAAAAGAGTTAATGATTGAAGATTTAAACACAAAATATGAAATGGGGAATTGATGGGAAAATATAAAGATAAAAGGTTGGTTAAAGAAATGATGACTATAATCATGGCAAAATGTCAAATTGGACCACTGGTCCTCCCTGCCCAGAGCTTAATAAAAAAGTTAAATAAAATCGATGCCCACAAACTAATCTTCTCTGTACTCTGCAAGCAAGCCTAAACTCACTACATGATCTACATCTAAAACTATACTAATAATAATAATAATACAGAAAATAAATAAATGAAGAAAATGGTTGTCCAGTCCGGCTAGCTCGAGTGATAGACCACCTGACTTAAAGTCACAATTCCAATAATAAAGTGACGATTTTCTTGTACACGACTTTATCGGGTGACTTGCGATTTACCTCTTTCAGCGACTCTATTGGGTTCCGGGGCCTAAGGCTCCTGGTGAATTGGCTGAACTGCATTTCTTGATCCCCATCCATGGCCAAATGAGAAAAATGATCTTTTAACTCTGCTGCTAGTGCCACCGTCGTTAAGATCATTAACCTCCGGAATGGAGCTTTGTTGTTGAACAATTTCTTGAACGGCGAGATAGAGCTGTCGGTCGGCGGCGGAATCCATGGAGAAAGATCGGCGAATGGGCTGAATTTTTGGGAAATGCTCGTCTTTGTGCCGGATGTCAATGCACTCGTCGCCGAGGGCGAAGTTCTTTGGCTTTTTCCGGGAGGTTTTTGGTCGCGGGGAGGGAGTGATTGAGATGGTTGATGATAATTCACCTGAGTGGATCACTAATGATTGATTATTGGTGTTATTATTGCGGCGGCGATCATGAGTGCTTATCTCGATGACAACGTAGTCATCGTCCTCGTCATTATCGGTACTAGGAATATTATTGTTCAAGATTGGATCTTGCGGGGTGGTGCTCGGAGCAATCATGAATGCGGCGGCGGCGGTGGCGGCGGAGGAAACGCTGTTTCTGCAGAGTGGGCAGTTGGCGTTGCTCTGAAGCCAAACGTCAATGCAATCAATGTGGAAGACATGGCCGCAGTTCGGAATCATCCTCAGCTTCTCCGTTTCTTGAAATTCGCTCAGGCAAACCGCGCATTCACACGCCGCCGCCGCCGTGGCGGCGGCGGCGGCGGTGGCAGCGTCTTTCTTGTACTGAAAAACCGGGATGGAACGGATCGCAGCCTCGTCGAGCCCGCGGTTCTCGACGGCCGGCGGGGAGAAAACTGGGAAGGGGTCGTCCACGCGCCGCCGCCGGGAAAACGAGAACCGCCGCAGGAGGTCAATTCTGTGCCAGTTTAAGCAGCACTTGATGACGAAGACGTAGTAGCTGACCAGCAACAAGCCCGTGGCGAGAATTCCGATAATGGCGACGGCTATTATCGGGAAACCGGCGTGATGGGAGTGCAGAGGCGCGGTGAATATCGAACCGGCCGGCGGAGCCGGCAGGGGAGAAAAGCTCCGATGACCCATATACGGCGGCTAATTAAGATCTTCAATTCGTTTATTTGGTGGCCTATAAAACACGTACTACAAAAGCGTAAATGGTTGGGTGTTGAATACGCATTAGCTTTTTAAGGAAAGAAAATTTTTGTCATTTTTTTAATGTTTCTGAAGATGAGGTGAGAAGTAGTGTGAAAGAAGTGCAAAAACTTTGGAGAGAGAGAGAGAGAAAGTTACGAGGTTTTGTACTATGGAAGAAGACTTTGAAACCTTATAGGAAATTAATTAACGTGTACATGTGGACTATGGTGGGTAGGGGACTACCTTTATGGTGAGAAAACAACATAGAAGCCTTTGAGGTTAGACCACCTAGTAGTAGTCTAATAGAGGTGACAAAACTTTGCCATCACTCCTTTGAAATTTTTTACACCTGCGAGGATGTAAATCAGTGAGACTCCGATCCCGAGTCATTATTTTCAGATTTCACCTTTGTAATCAGTTGAGTTATCTATGCGAGAATTTTTTTTTTGTTAGTGTTTATTGATGAAGACTTCTAATGTTGATTGGGTTTTAATGTTTTAACATAATGGTGTTCTGCCAGGGACCTTGTGGTCCAATTGTACCAAGTTGAACTTTTATATGAGAGGTTGTGGGTTTTAGTCTCAGTCAAGACTCGAGATGATATTGACTCTTTTAGATTGGTAAACAATAAAAGTGATTTTATTGGTACATTTGATTTGATGAGAATAAGTCAATAGTATGATAAGATTTGAACTCGAATCTATTGCTCATAAAGATACACGATTTATCATCATACTACACTAAATTTCATAAAAATGACAATTTTTTTTTACTGGAGTGAAATTATTCAATTAAAAAAAAATATTAAAGTGACACATTTAATACTTCATTCACTTTTTAACCCTGGATAAAATTTTCTCATGTGGAGAAAAATAGTAATTCAATGGTGTGAAAAGTAAAATTTGCAGGTATAAGATGTTCATAGGGAATATTGGTATGTGACAGGCTCCATAAAATCTGGTCGGCAAGAAAATATTTTTCTTACACCTGTATGTCTGCAGAACTGCTGATTACATATATGTCATCAGTATTATATATTGTAGACTTCAAAAATAAATTAAATAAATAAATAACAGTATGGCATGGGGTACAGACACTTTGTTTTTCTTTTTATTTTTCTTTTTTGGTGAGGGGAAAGGGGGAGGAGGGTGGCGGCGACACTCCACCGTCCACCGTCTATGACTTTTGCAGATCAGCAAATGTATTTTCTTTTAATTGCAAAAATAAAAAAGGAAAGATTCATTCAAACGTTAGCTTGACAATTTGTAATTTTGTTCCCACCAAGGTGGACTATGGTCTTTGAGTAAGATAATCAGAGATGTTTGTGAATGTATAACCGACAATTACTTTTGTATAATTTGGGTTCTTCACTAAATTTTATTTCAAAATTATTAGCAATAAACTGAAATCATTATTGTGCAGACTATACTATCAAATAATGTATATCCATTACACAAATGATGTACTGATAGGAATTATTCCCCGACCGTATCATATTCAACACTAGACCGTTATTGAATCCATTAGATATGTAGAGCACGGTTGGATTGCATCGACCCGATCTCGTGCCTCCCCGACCCGAATATCAAATCAAGAGGGCCTTGCTAATAATTTGGAGATCAGCACGGATGGCATTGCCCCGATCTTTAGGTCGGGGTCAAACCCTAGACCTCCGATACTTAGAACATCAGCTAAACACAACGACAGTGAATCCCACAGTGATAGGAATCTGCGAACACGTGGACGGACAGCCTGGACTGCCAGCCTTGACCTCTGCATATGTTCCACTTGTCGTGCATGCCGAGAGACAGATATCAATTCCTTGACGAATACCGCATTAATGCGAGGAAGGGGGACTTTTTGATAATTTCTATAGACTAACCTTTAGTTCGGGAACCTCTGACCCACGGTCAAGTCATTCGAGCTCAAAGACGTAAATCTACAAGCAAACTAGGTAAAGAGACAGTAGCCGGAACCGACCCTAGTACCGTATAGAGTAGTAGAAACCTCGTATTACCACATCATGTACTTTTAGCATATTAAAAATGTACATTATATTTAAGGAAAACAGATTATTTGAATATTGAAAATATATTATTTTATATAATGTATATTCACTACACGAATAATGTACTTTTTGTTATGGTCCATACATCATACCGACAAATTGGGATTAAGACATAGATAAACAACTCATTAGTTCATAACGACCATCCCAAATGATTGACGAGATTCAATTTGGTAGAATGTATGGAACCTATTACAACAAGGAATGAGAGTATATGCAGCCAGCCAGCCACCAAACAGATTATAACCTTAATTTTTCATTGAACAACCCTTTTTAATCATAAATTGTTAACTAATTGATTATTTTAACGTTGCATTGACCTTTAATTTTTAAATTCACCAATCATATATTTTACATTTATTTTGAACACTTAACAATGTTTTTTATTTGATATTGGACCAGAGGTCCCCTTATTATACACATTAACAAAATAAATATTAAATTCACCAATCATATTACATTTATTTTGAACAAACAAATTTTTTTATTTGATATTGGACCAGAGGTCCCCCTTATTATACACATTAACAAAATAAATACGTCCACTATAACTATAAAATTACAGGTTAATTAGTTATTTCTTTTATAAATTTCTCTTCCGCTATTGACTATTTGGTTTGTACAAGAAGGGTGAATTAGGTATATAAGTTGGATGATCTACTTGTACCATTTTTTTTTTTTCTTAAGAAAATTGTAATTTTAGTTTATGAGTTATAAGGTAGGTGTAATTTTCGTCCTTAATTAATATGGAATTGCAATAGTACCCCCTAATTAGTCACCGCACATATTTAGTCCTTATTTTGATGGATGTTGTTGGACAGAATGACCCACACATGTTTTTGACATTAGTTGTAATCAATAACAAATTAATAACTTTTGGATATCACAAGTATTTCTTTCAACTATTAATAATTATAGTTTTCACATTACGAGTACCATAAACCCAAACAAATACTCTATTCTCCATCTAGAAATAACTAAATCATCAATCAAGATCATCTCTAATGAACTTACTGAGGTTGCTTAGATTTTTGTCCCAAAAAATCAAATTGAAAATACAATTTTTCATGTTAGAGGACAAATTAAAATGACACATTTTAAAACTCCGGAGCTAAAACTACCATTATTATTCACCATATAATATTTATACAATTATTATAATCAATTAACATATCAATATACACAAATTACAATATTGTTGTAATTAGGAAAATGTTCGTTTTGTCTTTATCCACACACTAGCAATGGATGTGATTTGCAAATTGACATACCCATTTTCACATGGTTCTTTAATTTCTTTAACACCATTAGTTTCGTGGGGTCCAATTTTTTAAAAACTAAAGTTAAATGTTATTGATGTTGTTGTTATAATATTATATTATATTTTGAGTGAATTGAAATTGCAAAAATGTAATATATATGTGTGTGTGGCGGAGCCACAATGGAGTAGCTGGGTCAGCTGCCCCTACTCACCCACCCCATATATATTAAACTAGTTTTTTACGCTCATTGCGCGATTGGGATAATGCCCAATGTTTTTTTTTTTAAAATAAGTACTTTAAAGTATATTAAGGCAAGATTATATTGAAATTGTTCATGCATAGATAATTGTTGGTTGAATTTGCGTATTTAAATAGGTAATTCTTCTCCCAAAGGTTGAGTCCCCTACCCCAAGGGCCCCCCACACTCTGACCCGACAGAGCATTGTAGGAAGTTGTAAATCACGGTGACTCAATGGTTCAGCAGACAGGACCAAATGCCGGTGCGAACAAGGAATCTGCCCACTTTGGACATAATTCCCGCCGAGGTTCAAACCTTGGTCTCTTCTCCCAAATACTGCCCACTAAACCATCGAGCTAAGCCCGTGCGGGTTAAATAGGTAATTCTAAGTTTACAAATGCAAGATAATATAGTCAAGATTGATTATAATTGTCAATAAAATAATTGTATAGGTATGGTTGAAACCAAATACGGGACATAAGGGATAACAAATAAAAATTAGGGCATAAAATATTAAATATATACTAATATTGTTTGAGGAGATTTCGACATTAGGATTTGTGGTTAAGTTCTATTAAGACTTTAATATTAGAATTAGATTAATGGTATAATTATAATTCTATATTAGACGTTAATATTAGAATTAGACTAACGGTGAATTAACGGTATTTAACGGAAAAGTTAAATGGATAATCATATAATTAAGGATAAATTAGAAATTTTTTTAAAAAAATTAAAACCTGAACAATTTGAACCATTCATTTGATTTAATAATTTGGCGGTCATTTTTTCTACCCAATGTTAATAATTAAATAAATTCGTTGGTCAAATCCGCTAATATAATCCGCTAACTGCTGATGGTCAAACAAGGACATTGCAAGGTATTTCTCACTTCAATTTGTTGTGTGATTTGAATGTCCTCTTTGTCACAAAATCTCTCAAGGTAGTTAATATGGTTGGCATTATTAATTATATATTTTTTTAATTTTTTCATGGTATTAATAAAATACTTGGTAAATAAATATATAGCATTATTTTGTATTATAACTTTGATATTTAATTAGAAAAATAGTGCACAAAAAAGATAATAGACAATGTAGTGAATATAATCAATTGATGAATTTGAATGTAAAAATTTTTACATTTGAGAAAAATAAAGACAATATAACTAATGAAAATATTTCTCTTAATTAATTTATTGATAATGAATAATTTTTTTTCACTGAATTAAGACATTGTAAGGACAATGTAGCGAATATAATCAATTAATAAATTTGAATATAAAGAATTTTTATATTGTAGAAAAATAAAGACAATATAACTAATAAAATTATTTCTCTTATTTAATTTATTGATAATGAATAATTTTTTTTTGAATAAAGGCATTGTGGACACTTAATTCTGAATTAAAAAAATGCATATCTATAATTTTTTGTTGTAGCTACTAAATTATTATTTATATAATTTAATAAGAGTAAAATAGAGTACTAATTATGCCAACTTTGATTGGGATGAGGTTCGAACCTAAGACTTTTTTTTTTTATTGAAATCAATGAGTAAGTTAACGGTGAACTAACGGCAATTCTTAAAATTTTAACGGAATTAGTAACGGTGTGTGGGTATTTTAAGAAATTT